GGGCCTCACCTTGTACCATAACATGTCCCAATGGATTGGTTTAAGGGAAAATCTATGTGAAACCACCATACTTCATGGGAAAACCAATGGTTTCCTGCATTTTTCATTAAACCAACCCGTTGAATAATTGGGAATCTCTTGTATCTTTGGCAAACACGTGAAATAAATAGAAAGTAAAGAAATAAATCCAAGGTTTTTGCTGAACATGAACATGGGCCAAGATTATGTTCGGGTTCGGCGGCTATATATGGAGACATATGGAGACCTGTTTCTTGCGAATCGAAAATTGCAATCTTGCCAGCGCTTTCTCTGTGGGTCAAAATTGGACCGTACTACAGCAGTATTTGGTATCCAAGAGTTTGATGCCAAGTTCCCCCCACCTGTGTCAACATGCTCATAATTTCAGTGAGTTGCTGCTTCTCGGTAGAAAACACTCATGAAATTCAGTGGTTTCAATACATTGGGCTGGTAGCTAGGGCTATGATGCCTACCCAGGTAAAATTATAAGCTCACTATTTTGCAATGAAAGGTGGTTGTGAAATTTGTAGGCCAACAGCATCACGAGTGGTATAGGGTTACTTTGTGGCAATTTATCATCAACTTTTTCCTGGCTATTCCAACTTGTCCTTTTTTTGAATATATGCTGAATCATTGATGGGACAAAAGTATACAACCCTCGCCCCAAGAGCTTGACCCATGACAACTGGATATTTGTGGATTTGTGGACCCTGAGATATTCACTTTTCATCCAACTCCATTTTACCCCCACTCAACTATAACATAGATATTATAAGAAAAAAACATGATGAGAGATAATCCTGTGGACATTCCGAAAAGGAGAACAAATTCTATTTTAAATAGAAATGTTTCCAAATAGATATCCCCCATTATCCCCCATTGACATAGGAATTCATATCATCCCCCTGCGGAAAGCCATGGGTTTCTACCCTTGGACGCTCCCACGCCTTCAGGCCACCTGAGTGCGGAGCCGGAGCTGACGACGGCACGGCTGCTGCATGGCATGGTGGAGATGCATGGCTGCTTTACTGGTGATTTCATGGGGCATTTCATGGGGCATTTCATGGGGCATTTCATGGGACTTCGTGTAATCAACGGGTGTCTGGTTGGTGGTTTGGAACATGAAAATGCGAGTTTTGGGGAGACAGTGGTTATTGATGGTTATTAATGGTTAATATAATCTCTCTCTCTCTATATATATATACTGTTTGGTGACTTTTCCATATATATATATATATTGGGAATGTCATCATCCCAACTGACGTAACTGACTTTCATATTTTTCAGAGGGGTAGGTATACCACCAAGCAAGATCTGTTAGCTAAGTTGGGGGAATGTTCACTCCAATAACTTTGACTTTGATACCCAGTGAAAATTGGGATCAAATGGTGTTTGCTTGAACTGGCATGGTTCAAATGATTGACACACCATTTGTGGCAATTTTCTGGGATGGCACATGCTAAAACTGACTGATGCACCATTTTTCAATTTTGAGCCATCACAAATTATCAAATCAACCCGTTGATTGAATAGACAAGTCAGCAGGTAAGTTTAACACCAAGACATACCTTGGGTTTAAGTGAGGTTAAACAAACATGATCTTCCTTGAACTTAAATTATGACATCGTTTCTAACCCCATCTAATTATAGTTAGAATCATAGATAGATAGATAGATAGATAGATAGATAGGTAGATAGATGGATAGATAGATAGATAGATAAGATAGATAGATGGATAGATGGATAGATGGATAGATGGATAGATGGATAGATGGATAGATGGATAGATGGATAGATGGATAGATAGATAGATAGATAGAAAGAGAAATATATATATATATGAAACAATCACCAAAAAACTTAGTGAAATCTTAGCCATTTAATAAATCATCTTCGCCAACTGGGGCCCAGGACAATGCTGCAACTTCGCCGGGATTGCTGCCCGAGTTCGCCGCAGCGGCGCGAGGACTTCCAGATACTTCCAGGGCTGTCCAGTGGGGCCATTTGGGTTACAATGAAATGATCGGGGGTTCACCAACCCGTTGTTTTCCTATATTATACCTGCCACTATGTTCCTATTGTTTTCCTTATTATGTTCCCAGAGTGGGGCCTATTACTATGACAACTATGATAACATTGGTAAATCATGGGGACATAATAGGACAACAATGGGAACATAGGAAAACAACAGGAAAACAATAGGAAAACAATAGGAACATAGTGGGAAGATAATAGGGAAAATAGTGGGAACAACATGGTAAAACAACCAATAATCATGGATGAACAATGGATGATGGAAATATACCCTCTGGTAAATGCACATAGCTATGGAAAATGGACCATTTCTAGATGATTTACCTATTGAGAATGGAGATTCCATAGCTATGTTATTTTACCGGACGGTATTAATTTATCAGGAAGGTATTTTTTCCAGCCAGGTAATTCTTCATTGATTTTTAGCCAGCTAAATCAGGATTATACCAGAATAGATGATAATTTATTCCACATAAGTTGCGAGTTGACCATCGACACACTGGATTTGACAAATGACAGCGATGGTTGGACCTATAAACACCAATAAGCATTATATAGTGATCATTAGTGGCGTTTTACTGCCCAGAAGTTAGTGGTTCCAAAAGGGCGTTGAATGAGGCAGCATTGCTTTTGATCCCCCCCCATGGCCCGCAATCATGGGACAATTCCACTGAACTTCTTGGCTCAAAAAACGAATCCCTCCCCACTCAGTCAACATTGGATGCGTACTGCAATCCTTGGGCCATTTCTATAATAGTAACGGAATAGCATATATATACATATATATATATATCGAGATATATATTGGTCCAGTCATCCGACCGCTCAAAATCTGAAAATGCAGGACATGAAAGATTGGCAATGCCCAAGAATCATACACATCCTCGCAAAAAATCCTTGGCAGCCGGAGAGGGCGATGGAGAGAGAGAGAGAGAGAGAGAGCTGGAAAAAAAATAGGCTGCCCATGCCTAAAGCGGCAACATGCCAGGAGCCACCCGAGCTCTGCACAAGGCTCGGGAGAAGAGTAGAACTTGAGTAGCTCAATGTGGACAGAGTTTCTCCTTTTTGAAGATGTTTAAGAGTTGAATGTTTATTTTAGTATTAACTAATTGGTTCTTTCCGGTATTAATTACAACTAGTTGAAATTAACAGACCACCCCAGCTGAATCATATTATTAATGAGTTATATACTTTACTGTTCCCCGGGAAGTCTAATGCCCAGCTAGCTGGGATTTATGGGAGGGCTTCAGACTTAAAACTACATTGATGACTACGAGGTCACCATAAATGAATCTTAATCGCTTAACAAAAGGAATCTGCAAACACAAAAATCAGATTGGTGAAATGTTATCATGTGGCCACCCCATGCCACACCCAAATAATTTCAACGCAGAAGAAACCCTGGTTGGTCCACTCGAGGGGTATGATATTAGTGATACATTGCAGTTTGTTTCTTTGGGAAGTAGCTGCTGTAATACACTGCAGTTTTCTTATTTTCGTTGTTTTGGGCGTAGCTGCCCTAGTAATTCACCCAAAGTTTGTTTATCCTAAGTTAGGAACGATTACTGGGGGATGGGGTTTTCGTCAGTTGTTGGAATTTGTTAGTTTGATGGCGACTTGACAGTATAGCGTTGCCCTGCATCTCCGCACATTTAATCTTCGTGGCATGCATGTTCTTCAGTTGCATGGAGTTGCTACTGTCAAACCCGGATCAATAAACCGTGGCACCCAAAATTGTGATATGAAATAATTAATTATATATATTAGAATTGCTACCTCCCTAGTAAGAATTAACTGGTGGTCTATTTACCCTCTGGCTATTTAACATATCTATGGACAATGACCCAGTTATAGATTTACCATTTTAAAAAATGAAAATTGTTTTCCAGCTCGCCATGTTAAATAACCAGAGAGTAATCCTGGTTTCAGATTATGCTTGCGCGTTAGGCCGGCGCGACTTCGGGCGTCCCAACTACTCAGCCAAGCAACACGTCCAGTTGCGGCTGGGAGGACCATAAATGGGATGAGATAGCACGGGACTGTCAATTTTGGTCATGCTTGGGATGGTATCCTTGCCATCCTATCGGCTTAGGTCAGGTCTCAGATTGAGTGATGATAGTGATGGATTGAGGGGCGCAGATTGTCGCAGAAAACCTTGAGCATGATCGTGCTACTCACATTTGGGCCTATGGCCCCTGTCAGTTTATAAGTGCACTTGGTTACCTACGCTGCTGGCGCTCCTTGGGTTATATACACCTCACTGACCTCAAGAGCTTATAGCTGCTCCGTTTAGATTTTAATGGCTGCAACCACTTTACATCAAACCCGGTCAATGTATGTCAATGCGGTAAACCCAACAACAAAAACACTGTCTCTGCAACAAAATTGGTCGTTTTACCAACCTCCGAAAGATACTCTTTGTGTCCATACCACATTTGTGCAGGATGGCCACCCTGTTACCAATTGGTTTAGTGTTTCCCATCCAACTATATGTCTTAATCATAAATCCACACATTTGCCTAGTGATATCTACTGATATCAGTAATTATCAACTGTCCTAGCACTGGGGGGCCATTTGTGGCTGGTTAAAAATCAGCGCTTAGATGTTGCAAGAATTAACCATTCGTGGTTGGTAAGTAGATTACATCCCTTTACAAGCGGGATGTAGCAAGGGATATGCCCCAGTGATTAAACTTTAGGGATGTTTCCTGAAACAGGGGGTACCCCCAAATCATCCAAGTCATTAGACAATTTTAGCATACGGAACCCATGGTTTTGGTGTTTTTTGGGGGATCTATTTCAAGAACCCTCCAAAATCTTCCGTTTTTCCATGATTTGATGGTTTTCCAATGGTTTTTCGCTAGGCATCACTAGCGCGTGCCAGGACAGGCGATAGCCCCTCAGCCCCCACCTCACCTGTTCGCCGCGGCTGGGACGATGACGGCACCATGCCGGCCGCGCCGCGGCGAGGGGCTGCGGCGTTGTTGCGACCTGAACCCTTGAGGATTTCATCGGGGGATGATTTGATCCAGCAATTTTTGCAGAAGACGACATCATGTACAATATTATTCACACATAATATGTATATATAATTGTATATATATATATACAGTGTGGGGCCCCCTAGATAGCTAAGTTGGTTAATAACTCCAGTTTGACTATGGTTTAAAATACTTATAGTTACAGTTAATTGGGTTTATAAACCATCTTATAACTGGTGGGCCCTACATTGTATATACATATATAAATGCAATCAAAATTCAAGTTGAGAGCACGTAAGCTGAGTTGACAGTAGTCCAGTTGTGTTCCATTAGCAGTTCATCCATGCACCTACCGACATCGACCGAAGTTTTCAGGGGAAAATCGTTTGAAATTGGATATGAAATTTGTGTGTGCTTTCCCAGCTTGCATGGGATTTATGCCCACCTGGATGATGTCTCCACCCCTGGGGGGTTCCTCACCAGTGGAGGACTGCGGAGTTTGGGACTGTGGCCGCTGCAACACCAATAGCAGCTTGGGGTGGTTTCAGTGCTTTGAGGGGCCTTGATCAGGAGCCAAGATAAACGGTTGGAAGGGAGCTAAACCCCGCAAATTCATGGGTTGGCACCCCGTGGCCCATCAAGCTTTAGTAAGCTTAACTGCACCATGCTTAAATCCGACAGCACCCAAAGACGGTGATGGTTGATTGGAACAGTATATATATATATATATATATAAGTCAAGTATATGTTTGGGGTGTTAGATTTTCAGTAGGAACTGGTATCATATCTGATTACAAAAGATATACCTTCCCCCTGACAAGTGAAATGTGACGGCTTTTAAATAATTTAGTAGTAGGGTCATGTCGCGGGCATTTGAGGTAGAAACTCGTAAACACAAACTTCGTATCCCTTTTAAGATATGTTTTAATGATAAAAATGATAAAGTGACAATCAATCAGCCCTGAACCTTAAAACCTTGACACTGGATGGTGAATTGGGGTTGCCACGATGGATGCTGATATTCCTGACGCATTGGGAAGTGTATTCCCAGAACTTCTCATACACGATCATGTATCAACTATGTCCTGTTTTTTATTATGTTTATCTTCATTTAAGCCACATAAGACCATAATTTATGTTTAACTCCTATGATCTCCTATGGAGAAGAGAACACATGTATCAACATGTATCAACTACAGTATGTACTGTTTTTCCCATGGTTCAAAGATAAAGCCATTTAAAAGACGATTAAACATCACAGGGTGCCCCCAGTTAGGTGTATAACCCCCATCAACTATAGATATATCTTCCGTGAGCCCTAGTAATTGGAGTTGTACAACAAGATAGCTAGCTATGGGGCAGCACCGTGCAGAGTTAAACCATGTGAAGCCATGCTAAAGCCAAGGATTAAGAACCATTCCCCAACTATACCCCCCTATTGTTTATTGTTAACCCCCTAGAAATCATAGAACAACCCAAGAAAAGGCATTTGTCAAAAAACTATGCTTTTCTAATTGAACACACAATACAGAAATACCACGTCCTAAGTATGTTTTTTTTGTGTGAAGGAGCGTTGCATTTTTCAATATTAATGAACATAACAATACATTTGAATCAATATAATTCATGGTTTTAAATAAGCTAGTTTACAGTCATTTACTGAACTTTGTTAAGCTGTTTCAATAATTTAAAAGTAATTAAGATTTTATGTTGCTTTCCAGCGGATAGTTGATAGTAAAACACAGTTCTTTTCATTTTTGATCAATTTTGGGGTCCTGAAATTCCCATGGATTTTCTAACGGAATAAAACTGCGGGTCTTCTATCTAGTAGTCCCACTACCTATTACTATCTATCTTATCTAATAGTACCATCCTATTATCTATGCAAAATCGTGGTTTTCCACATGTACGATGGCTCCATATTTCCATAGTTACCCTGCCATGGCTTATGATTTATAGTAAAACCCAGCGGAATTCAGCAGGTCTTCCATTGTTAATCTATGATTATCTAATGTTTTTTCAACCCATCGAACTATATACATATCTATCATAACAACTATAAATGATCATTTTCCACGCAAGTTTTCAGACTATAAACAACGTATAAATAGATTATCTATCTACATATTTTTATACATTATACATGTCTACGGGTATAACATGTTGTTAACCCCAGCGGGGGAAAAAACTACAGGTCTTCGATTCCCTTCAGCTATATATATTATCATAATCATAACCATTCATTACCATAATAACCATTCATTACCAGAGGTGTACTTGACAATGTTAGTATACGTATTGGATAATCCTGTGGTATATCATTACCATGTTAATATTGTTCGATAATGTTAGGTATACACATTTGGAGTCAGTATAACCGTGCCATGCCTATTGTTATAACTTATGCTTGTTTAATGTTCTGAACCCTTCTAACTATAGATATATCATAACCAACTATTTTAAAGAGTTTAATCCAATAAATTTCCAACTAACTATAGATATATCTAATGAACAACTATTTTAGTGAGTTTAATCCAATCGTTGCCAACTAACTATAGATATATGATTTTCCCGGCTATAGTCACATATATATATATATAGCTAGTATATCACATATCATTTCTATAGATAGTTATATATATATAGCCAACATAACTATAGATATATGACTATATCTGGTTGGTGGTTTGGAACATTTTATATTGGTCCATAATATATGGGAATAATCATCCCAACTGACTTTCATATTTTTCAGAGGAGTAGGTATACTACCAACCAGATAATGAAATAAGGATATATAGATATATAGACATATATATATATTATAATATATATATATATTCCAACTATAGATAGTTCTATAGACATGTTATCACTAGATATAAGACTATATCTGGTTGGTGGTTTGGAACATTTTATATTTTTCCATAATATATGGGAATAATAATCCCAACTGACTTTCATATTTTTCAGAGGAGTAGGTATACTACCAACCAGATAATGAAATAAGGATATATAGATATATAGACATATATATATATAATAATATATATATATATATATATATTCCAACTATAGATAGTTCTATAGACATGTTATCACTAGATATATGACTATATCTGGTTGGTGGTTTGGAACATTTTATATTTTTCCATAATATATGGGAATAATAATCCCAACTGACTATTAATATATATATATATATATCATTTTCCACCCAGGTCTTCGATTCCCTGCAGAGCACCTTGGAATGCGACGGCCTTTCCCTGGGCCGTGGCACCTGGGCGGAGGCCTATCGCCGCAGCGCGCCGGGCACGCGCCGGCGCCAGGCCTTGAAGATGCTCTGCACCCTGGGCATCGTCACCGAAAAGGCACCGGCCCGGGGATGCCTTGAAAAATGCTGGGGTTATGGGGAAACCATGGAGATTTTATGGAAAATGGTGATACATGGTGGTTTGATTGGGGAAAAATGATGAATTTCATTGGGAAACATGATGGTCTGATGAGATCTATACCCAACTTTAGAAAAATAGGCGCAGGTACTGCACTGTGCGACGGCAGGAGTTGGCTGATGATTTAACGGTCATCAGTGATGAGCACATTGAAGAGCGCCTGGCTGTGAAAATTTGTTGTGGTGGGTCAAACATGGGGGCACTACTGGACCCACATCATGGTTTCATTTATCCTTTTGTTAGGACCGAAAATTCCATTTGTTCAATTTTTTGGTTTCGTTTTTTCTCCTAGTGCTCACGCATGTGTAGATGTACAACAGAGGTGACACAAACATCAAAATCAGGAAGCAACATGCAGTAATGGTTGCCGATGTGGGTAAAAACAAGACTAACGAACTGTTTACTTTCACTTGCAAACCGCAGCTGTGGAGTGAATGATGCCTGCTTAGAACAATGGACATAGCCAATGCAGTGAGAAGCTGTATATATATACACATAACATGTATGTATATATAAATATTTATACATATATGTCTTACAAACAATTGACATTGCAGTAGATCGGCAAGAAGGAACCCAAAAGTGCCATGATGTTAAGCTTTCCCTGCAGGGCCGAAGGAATTTGCCCAACAAAATGCAAAAGGTCTCAGTCCCAGTATCAAGGAATTTAGGTTGTTCAACCAATTCAAAACAATAAGTTCCAGTTTTTGTTCAAACCCAAACCTACCTATCCTACATGCCCATCTGAAGATTGACACGCAACCTCTCAAAGGATAGGTTCCAGTCAGATGTTCCATCAGGTTGTCTTGCATGGCCAGAGATTGTATGTTTGGGGTCCAAACCCCCTCACAAATTGCAACCTCCATTTTTTTGTTGGTGAAATCGGTTTTTGCGCGGTAGATATGCTATCATCAAATGGCCAAATTCATCCAATTTTAGTTTGTTAGATAGATCATGTCAAGTAAATCACATTTTTTTATTGGCTATAATAGCTATGTATATGTGTATATTTCATGATCTATCCATATCTCCATATACCTCCATATAGTTTCACCGCCGGTCGGATGGCAAGGTGCGTCTCCATTGCCATGCTGATGCTGGAGAAATGGCCGCCTTCGCACGGCTTGCCACCGGTGCATCAGGCGAAGGACGGAGGGAACACGGCGGCCACGGCGGCTGGAGCTCGGGATTTGTGACATGTGTGTGTAAAAAGCCATGGAAACATGTTGGGAAAATAGTGGGAAACACGTGGTATCACATGGTAACATATAGTAACACAACCAACAGTCATGGATGAATAATGGATGATGAAATATACATGGATATACCCTCTGGTGATTTAACGTAGCTATGGAAAATATGGAGTACAATGTCCTATTTAGTTCGATGATTTCTGAAAAAAAGATTTTCCATAGCTATGTTAAAGAACCAGATGGTATAACAATTGTGGTACAAATGCAAAAGCATCAAACTTGCAGATTGAAATGGGAATATGACGGGTGTCTTCCATGGGGGAATCATGGGACATATATATATATATTATGTATATTCAATATCGTTCAATGATGATGGTGTTTCTCAAATATCATGGCTGGTTGGTGGTTTCAACCAATTTTTTATTTTCCATAATATATGGGATAATCCTTCCCAACTGACTAATATTTTTCAAGATGGTTAAAACCACCAACCAGATGGTGAACGGCATGCGTCGGATATGGATGTACAGTACATGTGTAATGTGGTGCCCCGCCAGCGATCTTTGTTGGTTTAGTTTCACTTTCACCCCATATGTAGATATCCCACATAACCCCAGTGAAACATTTGTGAAATAAGCCAACTTAGCTAAGTATAGGCCACCACCTTCTGAAACAGAGCTAGCCATCACATGTTCGATGATTGGAGGATCGAGTTTATGGGTTGCATCCCCCAGCTGCAATGAAAACACAATGATGATCTCACTGGATTTGGGGGATGCCATATTTTCAGACAAACCCATTCTGATTGGTGCTTTGGAACATGTTTTATTTTCCCATATGAATCTTGGGAATGTCATCATCCCGACTGACGAACTCATATTTTTCAGAGGGGTAGGTATGCCACCAACCAGCGTTGAATGTGTCCATGTTCGGTGGTGATATCTTTGGGATCTTTTCTGAATGGACGATGGAGCAAAAACATCCGAACCTGGGGGAGATCCTTAAAGACCTTGCCATTCACGTATGATTTCCAGACCTTACGTGTCAAATTTGTATGTCAAATTTCTGTATGTCAAACCTTCTATAAAGGAGGCTTTAATATCTTTAATGGGAACTTCAACTATAAATGGTTTCCATTGCCATGCCGCCCCAGGCGATTCTATGTGCATATTGTGCTAAGTTAGTCAGACGGACCAGCACATGCACATGCACGAGCGTAAAAACATGTATTATTATGTATTACATGTATTATGGTATATGGTTTAGCCTTCGGATAGCCTGCTGGCGATGGCGATGCATATACATATACACGCACTATATATATACATATAAATACATAAGTAAATAAATAAATAGATATACACATACTATATAAAATATATGTGCATAGTATTTTACAACTATACAATTATATAAACATAGTCTGATGTATTAATATCAGCACGGTATGCCGAAAAAAAAAAAAAAAACGTGTGATATACCGCTCCGGTACTCAAACGTGGCTAGCTGGAGAATTACCCCATTTAGTTCGATGATTTTTCCAGCTGTAAACTTCCATTTCTAGTGGATTTTCCCAACCATAGAGTTCCATGTCCAGTGACTTTTCCCAACTATAAACCTCCATTTACAGTGGATTATTCTCACATTACCCATGATTTTCCCAGCTCGACGAGGAGTTCTTTCAGGCCCAGCTAGAGGCGATGTACCGAGACAAAGTTCCATCACCATGTCATGGCTGAGGCTGCCATTCGCTCGCCTGACTTCACTGAATCCATTTTAGGCATGTTTAAGTCATTTAAAATGAACAAAATAAGAATTCCTTTCTAGCGGTTTGACAGTTTGTTCAAATCAAGTTTAATGTTTTTGATTTGCCCTGAAGTCTAAAAAAATCAGAAATAAGGTTAGGACGTTTTTACCCAGCTAAAGTGGGGGTATGATGGTGAGTTTACGCAGAGCAATGGTGATTTGCTCGGAAAATGGTGACTTAATGGTGACTTGAGGGCTGGCGGGAAGTCTGAGATTCAATAGTCATTTAATGATTTTAATGGGTCTTAACAATCTAACCGTTGGGAAATCATAGGGGATTTTCATGGGGATATACACGGATAGGTAATGACTCACAGATTGCAACATAGACAGTCACCATGGTTTGAATATGTTTAATAAACAAATCATCTATAAAAGACCGTTTTCCAAACTGTTAGAGGAGGTATAATATATAAAACCTGAAGTTCTTCGCTTTGTGGGTCCAACTGTCGAAGCCAAGGAGCCGAGCCTATCCCCAAAAGCCAGGGGCCAGGTGGAACTTTTCAGGTTGGTAGTGTGCTCCGATCCCCCTATTAAACACCCACATTGTATGGTCCCAATTATATCCAGGAAATCCCCTACTATACCATGGCTTTTAAGGGGGGGTTGAATATTAGGGGGTGGGATTGCAATGTTGTGTGTCCATACTTTGGGCAAGAAAGGCCATGTGGCTGATAGGCAAAGATGTTGAGAGATTGATGTTTGGATTTGAAGGGATGAAGTCAGGAGAATCCTGCTGTGCCACAACAGGCCTACAGCAGTTGATGATGGTTCATGCTGACCATTGTTCAATTCGTTAGGTTCATGCAAAATCTATAGGACATGTCCGGCAAAGTTTCCTTTGATTGAAGTCATTGAGAAAGGGATGGACGAACCTGCTGGTCTCACATTCATAGAGGTTGGCATTTGCTGACTGAAGCGCAAATGTAACATGATCTGATAGGTCGACTCCAGCAAAAAGAAGTGGAGTTGTGGGCGAAAAGGATCCGGCTTGGGCTTTTGACATGTCAAGGATTTTCAGGGCCCCGATTTTCATGGCTGATGTTTGTGCAAAATAACGAGGAGGTGGTAGCCCAGTCCTTGCCAGTGGCTACCTTCAAGGAATTCCAGCTTTGAAGATTTTGAAGTGATACTCATGAGCAAAATCATTCAGGGTGCCTATTCTTCTGCATCTTTGGAACAGCTGCATCCCATGACTTGTCACATGACCAGTAGAGATATGGCCGCGCCCAGTCTTTGGACGTTGTCGGACATGGCCACATGCTGTGGTTCCCTTGGATTTGCATATTGAACCCAATGCCCATGAAAAGGGCCCAGTTAAAACAAGTTGATGTCTAAACCAAGTATATATAATATAATTTATATATATATATATACATGTGTGTGGTTAAGATATGTTTTACTTAAATTCGATACATATACATATATACCAGATATATATACATACATGTTTAACATTATATTTTTTAAATATGCATATATTCATGCAAGATAAAACCATATGTGTATATATATATAATTATATATATATATCTTTCATGGAAGCCAGTAAATATCCCTTTTGAAGCCAAGTTAACTATCATACGGGCCCCTTCCTGCAGAATGTTCACTCGTATTTTTGGGGTCCTGCCCAGGCACAAATGTCGATGTCGGTGTTCCCCAGATGAGGGCTGTGGAGTCGGCGAGGTTGAAGGGAAAATTTACAGGAAAACCCTATATTTCATGGTAAAAAACATGGTTTCCAGGTAAGATTTTCCCAATCAATCCATTGAAATTGGATTTGGAAGAATATGTTCTTCAAGAAGTAGATGCTCATCACCTTTTCTCACAGCCTCGCCAATAGCAGGACTGTTGGAAAGAGTTTCCAAATGTTTCCATCATGTATATATCACACAGCAAAAGCAAATGCCGATTGACTGCGCATGTAGGTGCAACTGCGATTATTAATGTTTGTATGTATACTTCGAAATGCCTTGACAATAGATGCGCTAGAGGCACTTTTTTCATAAACATATTGATGCGCGCAACTCATGGTGGCTTTCCAATAAATGAATGATTCATTCACATCTTCACGTTTTGCTGCTGGTCATATCCAAAAGTTTCTGTGCATAATGAAACTTTGTACAGCCCCTTGCTTGTGGACGACTCAGCGACTCAGCTTACCTGCCGGTTGCTTCACGGCTCAAGTGGTGTGTTGGTTGGCCATGCTCATGAAGTGATATATATATATATATATATTTAATTATAGCAGGCAGCGCTTGCTAGATGTCCTGACGTTTCCATTGCCATTTCGGCCAAGTTTGCTTCCACAATCGCAAACCAGGGACATCAAGTGACTCAACCAACCAAGCCTCAAGATTCCGAGACTACATCAAACATCATCAAACATGTGGCGAAATCCTTGAGGTTGTCCTTTCACAACTCCCATGGTGATCTTTCACAACGGATAACCACTGAACTTCTGGATCTCCGTGGCCATGGCGGGCGTGCGGAGACAGCTTCTGTCCATTGGTGAAGATGAAGAGGAAGAGCCGATGTTCAAAGTGAAACTCGTTGCCGCGGAGCGTTTCCAGTGATGGCACATGGGGTAGGTCAACGGCCTGAAAGCATATGAAAACTCACATAAACTCATATCCATCGCAAAAAATGAGTTTGGAAATAGATGATTTTTTGCAACTTCTGCCTTGGGGGTCCATGTTCGTTGAGTTTGGGTCTGAAAATCTCGTCTGTGGTATTTCAACTTCCAGTGATCCAACCGGGCCACAGTGGCCACTTTTCGCCAGTGGCTACTGAGTCTGGGTCATGTGCCAATCTTTTTTTCTTACTGGTGCTTAGTAGGGAATGGATGGCAATGGGGGAATGGGATGATTATTTTATTACTAGTGATTATGGATCATTCCCTCATTCCCTGCTAAGCACCAGTAAGTTTTTGAAGGTTAAAAAGAACAAAGATTTGAAGAACACGACCCCCGGTTTGCTTTGCCAAGAGTTGCAGTGCGGTTTTTGTTTGGGACCATGGTGAAATGATCTTTTGAGGTCTGGTTGCTGGGTGCCTTCCACAGGTCTTCTTCACCCTGACACCCTGCGTTTGTAAAATTGCTCATATGCCATAGCTGGAACATGATCATAGTGGCAGTTTTCTGTCATTTTCTTCCAAGCAGCAGGTTGCATCCTTTGGAAGATATAAACTGTTGCTGATTGCCTCCCATGTTTGTCTGTTTTATCTATTTTGCGTGGTGTCCAGGTGTTTGTTATTTCGGATCCCATGTTGGCCAAGGAAGAAGAGTCGCTTGAGCAGACAGATGGCGGCAACCAAGGCCGGGGCTTTCTGAGCCTAGGCATGGTTGCCGGTGTCTTTCATCGCGTCCATAGATATTAATAACATACCGGTGAACCTTTAGCTTTCCATATAACATGGTAGAACATTTGGTATAAACATATTATATACAGTATACCTTTGAATATGTTTGAATGTTGACCAGGGTAGGACAAAGTTGGACATGGGGTAAAAACAATCTACAACCAAATGACCAAATGCTGGTTTTGCAGGTCACCTGGATGTTTTCTGATCCTGCCAGCGTCTTGTGCAGAAGGCCCCAGCGGATTTGCCGTCGAGCTTCCAGAAGAAGAGCAAAGAAGCCAAACAGGCGCCGTGTCAGTGCGTAATTTGTTTCTCATAGCTGTAAGATATGGGATGCTTCTATGGCAAGGTGTACATAAAACTTATTTGTGTATATATATATATATGTAGATTCAGTTGTATTGACTGTGCATATACCGGTCAACACCAGAGCATTATGAAGGTATTGGATATATGATATATTCAACCTCAAACGCCGGTTGTGCTTGGATGCTTCTTTTCAGGTTATCTAGCAAATGGCTGTCATAGGCTTGCAACCCGATATCTAAAGGAAAGTGTTAGGCATCAACCACCAGGGACTTTAATAGCACACTCCGTAAGCCAACAGAAAAAACCGTACCTAGCCAAAAAAAAATCGAACAAACTATCACCAATAAGCTCTTAAGAACCTGGAAACCCATGGAAACCCAACATCTATTGGTTTAACATATGTATGATATATATATATATATATTTTTACATATATATATATATATACATATTTGGGTTTTTTTTAAGACGGGAGCAGCAAGACCCCCATGGATCGGTTCCACCCGCTCCCTCTGCAGGACCGGCCCGATCCCCGGAAGAGTCGCCGAGATCGCCGTTGTGGTGCCGAGGTCGACAAGGTCGACGTCAGCGAGATGCTGGGCCAACTGTAGGGATGCGAACCGTCCGGGATATTACCTACCCTCCGGCGTCTAACATGGCTAGCTGGATAAAAATCATCGAAGTAAAAGGTGGATATCGTGGATAGCTGGGTTTTTAGATATCAAATTGAGGATTTCCAATGTTAGATCCCCAAAAAAACCGCTTGAAATACCATGTTTAATATCATGGAATATCAATGAGGATCTTGGGAAAGCAACCAACAATCAAGGATGAATAGTGGATAATGGGGATATACCCGGCCTGGTAAAAATACAAAAAGCAAAAATTGCCCATTGTGTTCGTTAATCTACCTATGAAAGATGGCGATTTTCCATAGCTATGTTAGTTTGCCAGAGGGTATGTGAAGGAATATCAAGGTTGTTTCAGAAATTGGCATTTGACTAACTAATGGGGATATGTTTTAATGGACTGTATATATACAAATAATGGCATTAAAAACTAATGGGGATATGTTTTAATGGACTGTTCATATATACAAATAATGGCATTAAAAAAAAGTGTGAACTCTTGGAGAGGGCGCTGGAGAGAGAGACAAGATACCGTGCAGGGTATGGGATGGCCCTGGAGATTCACTGGAGCTGTTTTTTTGATTTTCGAGGTGCGAGTTTCTCTGAATCTCCATTCAGACTAAGAGTTTGCCGGCCAGAGGAGCCAAAGATTGTGGCCATGTTGGATGCCATTTCTTTGTTAGTTGCAGCTACCTCATGTAAACCTATCACTTGAAAATCGTCCATTGGAGCTTCATGTAATGTGGCTTTCCATTGCTATGTCTATATAGGTTCATATACCGGGATGTGGTGCTCAGCAGTCAACCCAAAAACCAAATCCACTTTCTGGGATTCCAGTGGCCTTCCCAGATTTCCTTTTTCTGTTCTACTATTGTGAGAAAATAGATGAAAACGGTCCCACTTGATGGTAGGCATCTGGCAAGATTGAACCCACACCTGGCAACTCTTCTGTGCTGGTAGGCATCCAACACTGAGATTGGTGCCTTCTATTTGTCAACATGTGTTTGGCTGCCCGCGTCATGCCTCAAATGCTTCAAATTTCGGATGATGATTCCCTCTTGCCCTGTCTTGGCCGAACCCACAAAAGCACCATGTAAACCTGACCATGATCGCCTAAACGTTTTCCTTGGTTTTCAAGGTGGCTCCCCCGAGTCGTAAGCTGGTTTACAATCACCACAAAGTACATATATATATAATACGGTATCTAACTCCCAAAAAGATAGAAACGTGATTCATCAGTATTTTGTGGGATTTTACTTTCCCATCTTTTTTGGGGGAACTGCTAAATTAAACCAACTTAGCCGCAGCCCTTTGCAGCCCCATTTTCCCGCTTCTATGCTGAGGATTGGTGACGTGGCAGAAGCCACTGAACCGTTGACAGAGCCGGCCGAGGGCTTTGACGATGCCAAGGACATGGAGCGCCCTGGTGGCATTGCAGCGCCCCGTGTTAGGCTTGGGATTTTAGAGGTGCCATTCTGAATGGGTTCCTGAAGAAAATTTAATCTAAAAGGTGGTTTCATAAGAAAAAGATTGACTATGTGGATTATAAATATAAATTACAAGGGTTATAATAATGAATAATTAATCATAATCATAATCCCTTCCCCCTGATACAAAACGCCCTCCAGACACCATGGTGGATGTCAGGGATGGAACCATGTATTTGGGACCATACAAGTGGGGTGCAACACGGTGCCCTGTTGGCCAAGAGCTGGTTCATAGACCCATCTAACTACCCAACCGTACATATATCCAACATTATCCAACCCATTCCACCCTACCAACCCACTGCCAAACTAACTTAGCTATGGGTATTGCTCCTTCCGTTGGTTACATTTCTTCACAATATACCCGCATAAAAATTATAAAATCTATCCATGACATATGCCCAACACATGGTTAAGTAGTGTAATCCCCCTGCATGATTTTTCAATATTAACAGTGTCCCTTATTCAGTTTATCCTCCATTATATCCCCCATGGTCATATAAGTAAATCCGAGGTATATCACTTTATCACTTTGTACCCACCAACTATATAGTAAGCCCCATTCAATGTTCATCACAAAATAGTTTTACAAGATATACTTCTTGAAGCCTTTAAGCTATCCGCAAAAAAACACACAATGCTTACGGTATAGTGTGTGTGTGTATATATATATACATACATGTATATACACATTATACAGCTCTTCCTGTTGTTCCCTCAGTGGATACCCTCTGGTAAACTAACATAATTATGGAAAATCACAATGTTTGATGGGTAAATCAGCTATTTCCATGGCCATATTCAATAGCTATGTTAGTTCCCTCAGTGGATAAAACATCCGGTGCCGCCAGGGACGTCGAAACCTCCGCCGTCCAAGCCGCACGGCTGGCGCGTGCCCAGCGGCAAGCAGCCCGCGATGCGCCTCGAGGGGCGGTGCCACAAGGTGGCCACCGTGGGTACCCTCTGGTCATTTATATAACCAACTGTAAATAGGGATGTGGATGTGAACCTTGGGGAATGGGAAAAGAATGGGAAAGCAACCAGCAATCATGGATGAATAGTAGATAATGGGGATATATATACCCTCTGGTAATTTGTAACATAGCTATTGAAAATGAAAAATGGTCATGGAAATAGTTGATTACCCATTAGCATGGTGATAGTTATGTGAACGTTTAGCAGAGGGTATGGAGATTCTTGGGTCATGGGGAGTGGTTAAGAATGGAACAATCATGAGAAAATAGTAGGGAAATAACCAACAATAATAGTTGATTATTGGGGTGATTGTTGCCGGGGTGTGCCCCAGTTTGTTAGCTAAGTTGTTTTTTTTTAATATGAGAGTTATAGTTAGTTGAGATTACCAGCGAACTTAAAACTGGATAGCACCACCTTGTTCAGTAGCCCCCGCAAAGGATCAAAAAAAAGAGAAAATGCAGAGCAAGTTTAATTTGCAACTATGTTTCAATGTGATATGATTTGATATGATATGAGTTTGTTCTACCTCTTTCAGGACCTATATCGCCGATGAGAATAAGATCTATGGCTACATGGAGGACCCACCACTCCACCAATCGTAACTTATTATCTTATCCTTTCCCTAAGGGATTTCATATGGTCATGAGATGTCATGAGTCATTAGCCGGGTAATTAATTGGCAGGATCATTCCACCTAGAAACTGGCGGGTTAAATTACTGTTGCTGGCAATAAAATCACCACGGTCAATCACAGTGTTTGTTCTGCAACATATGCTACTGTAATTCCACATTGCTGTACTTGTTCAGGTTTTTCAGCCATGTTTTCCTTTGGTTGTATCCACATTTTCCCCCAAGCCTTGCAGCGAAAAACATCAAAGCCCATGTTTTTGTTAACTAAGGCCGGGTTCTTGTTCGTGAATTCCCATGTTTGATGCTACAGCCATCCAATGCCACCATTGTTCTTGGTTATATCCCTATTGGTTCCGAAATTCTGGAGGTTTTAATCCCATCCCGATGATATAGTGTCATATTTATTTGGATACCCTTTACAAGTCTATCCAATCTTTACCATATATAGATAGATAGATAGATAGATAGATAGATCGATAGATAGATAGATAGATATACCCAGTATATTTAATCCATTTTTTTAAGCCAACCATGTTTTTTTTGTTGGTGACGCTTCCCCTTGCAAGGCGACAGTCGCGCGCGGATCAAGGCTTTGGCAGCGGCAGCCCAGCGGGAGCTGAATGACGAGGTCGCAACAAAGCCTTGAAGTCGTCACTTAAACCCATAGGTTTTAGCCAATTTACATATGTATATATATATATATATACGTATAGGGAGAGAGAGAGAGAGATAGATAAATAGATGGATAGATAGATAAATAGATAGATAGATAGATAGATCGATAGATAGATAGATAGATAGCCAACAGAAATCTGGGAATATGATATGATATAACTGCATGATTTTTGATTGGTTATGACACTGGGAATTATATATATATACTACCTGGGTTATTTATATACTACATAGCGAAATCTTTAATGGCTCAGATGAGGTCTCACGGGTTCTGGGCCAACCTTTGGTGGTTTAGTTCACTACAAAGACTATAGGGATTATGGTAGACATATCTATAGATAGTTAATGGATGTTAATGGGGTTTACTTATAAACCATCTTGGGATGACAGGATTGAAGAGGCCGGGAAACTTCTTGTGACCCCATTGGGCCTTACTATAGATGATGGTGAGGACCAGGGAATACTTCCCAAGAATCACAACTTTTCAGGTTTGTGAATTATAATACCTTTTTCCAGAAAAGGGATTTAACCATGGAACATGGATATAGTGGTGATGCTTGAACATAATACGGTTGATATCTTGGGGATGATTTGTGTTAACCCAGGGTTGGCTACTTTGACAGCCCGCATACTAGAGCTTTGAGCTGGGCTATGGGATAAAGCCAAGGTCTTAGGGGACTCTTACTTGGTCAATCTTAAATGTGTACTTATAATGGCACTTTACGGTACTCTAATACTTTTTTCCTTGGTTATAAATGGGGATGAACCTCGGTTGAGTAAAACCAATGCCATTCCGTCAGGTAGCTAAATACTTTTACAACAAAGGTACGTTCCCATGATATTCACCCCGCTTCGCGTGGGGTGGCCGCCCACACCGCAGGTTTATTTCGGTCCGTGAGAGGGGCTAAGGGTGGTTTTCCCCCGTGGGGGCTCTTCAAGCTAAGAAGTTTCAATAAGAAATCCTTCCAAAACATTGTTTTTGACAGTGTTTTTCCAATGTTTCCAGTCAAACAGACGGTAATTTACACGTTTTTTGCCATAAAGGCAGTAAATCCTTCCAAAACATTGCTTTTGACAGTGTTTTTGTAATGTTTCCAGTCAAGCATACGGTAATTTACACGTTTTTTGCTATAACGTCAGTCCAAAACACTTGTTTTTGCAGTGTTTTCAATGCTCTGGCATCCAAAAACCCTGCAAAATCTTGCTATGTACAATGTTTTTTTCATTTTTGGCCGTTTTTCCATTGCCGGAAAGCTACCAAAATGACCCAAAATTCCATTTCAATACCCTCTTGCGCTCAGACACCCAAAAATCCTCGAAAAATGTCGAAAACACCACCGTATTCTGGTCTCGGTGCGAAACCGTTTTTGGCCCCCCCCCCCCAGCTAAAGCTGATATAGCGACTGCTATATTAACAAATGTCATTGAGCATTTAGTGTTGCTGTTGCCCCCCAATAAGCACGCCTTCACCGCCAAAGCGGTGTGGGCGGATTTGAGTTCCAAAAGGCTTATAAAGTGATGTCCGCCACATTTTTTATTTGACACTCTGTCATTTTACTGTATTATGTGTATATTTATATATATATATATTGATCCTATTTATCTTAATCGTCACCATCTTAATTGCCATGGCAAGTATGGTTTTGCTACTTTCCATGAAATGTATCTATATATATATGGGTAAATGTATCTCTCGCTTGTTGTGTGTTCATTCATGATTCTGATTCGGGTTGCAAGTACAAATCACAAAATTTATGATTGCAAGTGCTGGCACGCCAGGAAAGCTTGTACAGGATGCCATTTTGGACCTTGGCCCGTGGCATTTTACCAGTCTCACAATCCGAGTTGTCCCGTTTGGGAAGAAACAACTAACACCAATGTATCGTATACATCCGTCTATACATCCGTATATGTATATGTATATATGTATATGTATTTATATGTATATATATATATATGTGTGTATATTGATATTCATGTTTATATTTTTATTGAGAGAGAGATATAAATATATTCAATACTATACACACACATATTGACGTACAGTATTTCTGTTCGTTGGTTCGCTCATGACCCCCTTGGGTGGATCTTGCCATGCGTTTTTTGTTTCTTCGTTGACCCTGCAGGAGCCTGAAGATCTGGCTGAAGCCTGGGCCTTGCGACAGTTGGAAGTGGGTCTTCATCGTCGTCGAACGGGGCAACAGGCACGGCATGGCACGGCTGGGATTTCAGCCATCCCCAAATCGTAGCTTTATTATTGGGTTGCCTAAATTAAATGGTAAAGAAATGGGTAATACTTCAAGGCCCAAGAAAGACAATCATTTTTCGGCATTTTTTGTGTTTGTTCTTCACCCGAGTCTTGGGTATGCTTGTTTGTTGGGGGGATACCTTGAATGCAAACAAAATGGACGCAGGGGATTTGAACATGGTTGTGCATGTGCCATGTTTAAGGGCTGGATCGTGTACCCATATTCGGGGATTGTCATACAGCCATTATAATATTGCATGTTCATGCCAACCTAAAAATTCCCATGGTGGGATCGTTGATCGAGACCGCTGGGATGTGAGTTGCCATGCGCCCGCAGAGGTTTTGTTGACTGACCAATACCACCTTCCAGGCATGTAATACCTATCCGGAAATTGAATTCAACCCGAAGTTGGTTAGATGCGTGGTTTGATAGGAAGATAGGAGTCCGGGAGTTTTATGATTTGTTGGGTAGGAAGATAATAAAGGCTTGCAGTTGTTCAGCGAGGGGGGTTTTAGGAAATCCTTGCAGTGGCCGAGTTGAATCGATCAAATCAAAGTTCTTTTGATAGACGCCCGAATTTTGGTCATTAATGGTTTTCAAACCTTGCTGGCTTGAAACATGATTGTTTCAATTAACACCATAATACTGTAGTTGTTCTTGAAAATACCCACAAGATAGGAAAGTAGTTTAATCACCCTTAGCCTCATTCAAGGAGGATTTGCGTCTATTTGTTTGGTTTTTGTTGGGGGATTGCCCAGTTGCTGATTTCACCATGCTGTTGGTCAATCTCCCCAGATTTCTGGCAGGCGCCTGTGGTAGACATGAATCTCGATGAGGTGCACGGATGACCTGGCACTTGGATCGTACATAGGTTATAACCCCAGTTATAAGTGAACTCATCCTACCTAGCCCAAATGCCCAAATTTACCCAGAGCTTGGAGGATCATCCCATTCAGTGGTTTGTGGGCCAGTGGGTAGACTTATCAGTAGCCAGGGTGAAAAAACATATCCGTGGCATGATCCTCCAGGCATCGAATGGACTTGGGGTAGCCCAGGCATTTGGTATTTGACCTAGCTGGACCTAGCATTTTGATGAATTTTGATGGAGAAGGTTGTGATAGTGCAATGGAATTGGTGGCCCATGAATTTAAAGGGTCTGGTGAAATTGATGTTTATTTTCCTGACAGAGCATATCAGAGCATCAAAGTTGTGGAATCTAGAGCGGGTATGTGTGATTTTGGCGGAGCTCTTCGGCAAATCCAAGTTTAAAAAACAATCCATAAATTATATAGGCTAACTATAGTTTATAATTCATAACCATCAATGGTTGTTATTAATTATAGTTATAATATAACTATAAAATGTTATAAGCTATCCCAGTAAACCTCCTTGTCATATGCGGCACCACCTTGGTTTCCCCCGGCCTCCATGACAGCAGCAGGAGATCGCCCAGCTCGACGGTCGTGCGCCCGCCGTTCGCCGCGACGGCGTGGCGCAGGTGCAGAAGGCCGCGGAGCGCGTAGCCAAGGGCCACGACGGGGCGAAGGCGGTGCGGAAGGAGGAAAGTGCCACTTGGAGGAGAAGATGATGGGATTTTAACCATTTGAAATGGATACTTGACCATCAAAAATAGTGTTAAAATGGACATTGTAAGTGATTTTTGTTCACCATGAATAAGGGGCAGAACTCAATAGAACTTGTGTTAATGGTGGCGAACTTCTCTTGAGAAAGCGTCCGCCAAGGTCTTGTGGGCGCCCAGCGAAGCCATGGCGAAGCTGTGGGAGACCATGAAGACCTTGGAAGGCTCAGCTGAAAACCGTGACGCCAAAATCGAGGTGCCGAAGATGGTGATGCCACGACGGTGACCGGTTCAGAACGGGTTGTTTTGCAAGGTGGGGTAGAAGTGAGCTATGAGAACAGGCTGAACACTTTTTTGAATGCTTCTTAAGGACAAATCATTTGGGGATGGATCAAACTACCAGATGTGGATGGGATCAACATCCGTTTAAAAGCTAATCTAATGTTGACCAGGCACCAGGGATTTGACTTGTAGCTATGCTTGACCATATTTCTACCAGTTATTGTGGAAGTCACCCAGACAATTCCCAAGTTTTCCCTTTTTTTCCCCAAATGTTTCCCATATTTTCCAAATGTATGTTCCCATATTTGTTTACATTTACAGTAACATATGTTTCCCGTCTTTGTTCCCATATCTGTTCCCATATCCCACATTTCTTTTCATCATCTCCCCATGTTTTGCCACGTGGCCTCGAAACCAGCGTCCAACTCGGTTCAACTCCTCGAGGAGTTGAAGTCCCAGCGGGACGCAGCGCAAGATGAGCTCCGAGAGATCGCGGCCTGGTACAGCGGCCGCGGCCGTTGTTTTTGGTCATGGGAAAACCATGAAACAATAGGCGGTTAGTGAGAACAATATGCATAAGAATCCATTCAAAAAAACTGAGAGTATGGAATATAACTTTCCATAACTATCCATGACTATCCATAAACTATCCATAAACTATCCATAAACTATCCATAACATCATAACTGGGATTATGGAACAGAAGGGGTCAGTGATAGATCACTGTTTTTTCCTCGAAACTCTTTTTGTGTACATGGCTATGTGTTGTAGTTTAAGTTGTTGGAGAACAGCACTGTGTGACTGGTTTTGCAGCTTGAATATGATGTTCCTCGTGGAGACGGCTGTTGCATAAGTAAACAACTTGGACAAAGAGTCAGCCAATGGTCGGTTCCCCGATTTGACATGCAACCATGATGTAGGAATCATCACATTGTTTTTAAGGACCTGGAGAATCATGGAGATCACACCAACTGTTGGGGCCAGGCTGTTTTGGTCTCGACCCCGAGGAACGTCAGGACAAGCAGACTGCTCGCTCCTTGCGATGCGTGCGAGAGCGCCTCGGCGATGCTTGTTGTGATGGGCCTTGGAAAAAGTACTGCACATCAATATACAGAAAAAATGTGCTGTTGGTGGTTTTAACTTTGTTGTTTCCTTCGATTTGAAAGAACCTATTTGGGGATGATGATCTTACAGTTCAATCATCGTTTTCGAGGGTGAAACTACCAACCTGTCAAGTCTTATCCAACCACCAACCGGCAATTATTGCCTACGAGACATGAAACACGCATCATGAATCAATTGTACTATATTCAACCCTCAGCCCAGCGTCAATCAGCCATTGGTCGACCATCGCAAAACACCATTCATTAACCATTACCACCAATACCATTCACATGAACCCTTGATTAACAATTGACAATCCTTGAATTCAACCCGATTCATCAGTTCATCATCTCTGAATAAGTCCTACCCTGTACAAAGTTAATGCCTTCTAGTTTTAGATTTTACTTTATCATGTCATAAAGTGATGTCGCAGTGATGCGTATGTTTTCTGCAACGGATCCACTATCGCAGCAAACATCGCTGCAGGTTGGAGGAGATCGCGTGGAGCCTGGGCGGGTTGTCACTCGAACGCAGAGGGGGTGAAGCCAAGCAGCGTGGGGAAATCCATGGTGAAATCATATGAAATACACATAAATATACTATGAAATCATGGGGTAATATGGGGTAGAACGGACATTGAATTCATTCAGAGATACCAATAGGATTCAATAGATAAGTATCTTAGAGATGTGACGCACGTATCCAACAGTTTGACAAATTATTTTTCTAAGTCTAGCTGCGCTTGGCAAAATGAACTGGTGCGCAATCAACAGGAGTATATAGATTATGCGTGGACCAACGCTGTGTCTTACAAAAGCACCATAGCCACCAGTTACATATGACAAATAGTCATTCCCTCCCCCTCATATATGTTTGATACCGCTCATATGGCCTGCGAAACGATCAGATACAAAAGGTTTCTAGGGTGGTATTTGATGTCGGGTGAAAGATTATTTATGGGATATCATGGGTACACGTAAGCCACATGTTGTTTGCAATGTAAGGCCCCAGATCCCTGGCCCATCTCCGTCATTGATCTGGAGTCTGAAGGTTGGATGAAAAGTCTGCAAAATGCAAACAGGCAAGCTGGGCCAGCTGCAAGCTGCGTGTTTTAGAGATTAAGACTGTTTGGTGGCTGGTGGTTTTTCTCACGGCTGGGCTGGGCCAGTCCATATCTTCTTGGGATGCTTCGAATTGACACACGTGTATTGTGGGGATGGGATCGAGAAGGGAAACCAAAACATCAATGTTTGTGAAGTATTGTAGTCCATTCTTCGGTTGTGTGACGATAGAACACCTTAGCATATTCATTGCATACGTGAGCTTTCAAAATACTCCTCAGTCAAAGCTCCATTTTGGTTGGGGGTCATGTTCCTTGTTATCTGAGCGAGATGAACAATGTTCAGAACATCTCAGAATCAAATGCTCTTGCTCTGGGGAATATTACCGGTACAGAATCTGTGAATCCGTTCGAAACATGTTGAGACCAGAATAATCCTCAATTCTTTGTCTCCGCTGTTTGGAACCTGAGACCCACTTGCATCCCACATCCACGAACCTTATCCAGACGTACAGTATTTGATGGCTGACGAACATGTCGTTTTCTTCACCTGCGATAGTGACCACATGTGCAAATTGGCCAAGACACGCTTAAACTTGATAGGACTGCAATTTTCGGCTTAATGGTGCATTTCTGCTGCTTACTATCTTTCAAGAATTGACAGCCAGACACATTCCAACACTAGCCTTCATGGTTGTCATTGGGGATGTTTGGGGTCACTTATGTCACACTAGCCGACCTCACCATAAATTATGGTTAGCGAGTGCCTTATACTATTTATCCCTACTTCAGGTGTGACACAATGTTAGAGTTTGCACAAAATGGTCAATACGACTTTATGTTCAACGCATTTCCCATAATGAGATAGAAATGAGATACTTAAGTGGAATGTTCCAAAATGTGCCCCTAGTTTTCCCATAATTAATTGTCTATGCTGTTAAGAGTTGAAATTGTTCATGTCCCCATATTTGCCCACACCTTTTCCAAGATATTCCAAGATAATCAATTGCGTCAACTGATTCTTCGCAAGTATCCCAGTTGATTTCAACATCTTTCAACCCAACGTGTTGCAGATGTGCCTCCGGAATTTCCTGATGTTCATCATGTTTCCCCATCTGGTTGGTGCTTTGGAACATGTTTTATTTTCCCCAATAGTTGGGAATAATGATCCCAATCTGACGAACTCATATTTTTCAGAGGGGTAGGGCTCAACCACATTCAACCACCAACCAGATTATAAACCCCATTAACTATAGTTATATCATGTTATATCTAACATAAACCCAATCGAATTCAGCCATCGTTTCCCCATGGTTTTTTCCTCATCGCAGGCCAGCACCATGCTGTCCCAGATCGAGGAGGACTTCGTGAAGCGCCGCCTGCGACGGAGGGTGAAGGATTTGACCCAGGCAAAGCGCTGCGGATTTTCCATGGGGAAACCTTGGGGGAAACCATGGTTTTCCATAGAGAAACCATGGGTTTACCCGTAAATCACCTATAAAGGAGCCATTTTCCATAGCTAACGATGAAAGTTTATTACTGTTATATATCTGACATGATCTAACCATTGAGTTGGATTGGTTCATGATGTTCATGGGGAAGAACAGCTGGAACATTTCACCTTTAGCCTCAAATACAAGGGTTTCTTGCAGATTTTCCTTTCCATTCTGGGATTCATGGCCCATACAAGTAATCAAACATTTTTTTGGAAAAAAAGAAAGATTTGATGGGATGTATTTCACAAACTTACCCCACGTTGTTGCCATTTTATTTGGAATACATATATATATATTATTATAATAATTATTATTATAATATATATATATAATTTTCTCAAATGTTTTGAGGCAGGATATGTTTAGGTGCCCTATTTCAGACAACCCTTTTGGTTGTCAGTTGCCAGTTTAGGCAGTGGGCAGAAAGGTTGATCATGGAGTGGTTAGTCAGGGTGACCGGGACACCTGACACCGGGTTGTTGTTTACTGGTCATTCCAATTAGTCAATTGAACATGGTCCATTTATAGATGAATTATTTGTGAAGTATTGATAAAAATTGTGATTTTGAGTAGCTACATGTTAAATTTCCATAGGGCCATTCAGGGTTTTTTCCTTTGACACTGGCTGGTCCAGCCAGTTGGTGTCCAGGTGTTGCAAGCAGCTGGTGCATCTTTGACACGGCCACTGGAGGTGGGTTACCCTTTGGTGCCATCCAACATGGCCGGGAAATATGGCATAACTGGGCGTCAAAAGTGGAAAACGGATCTAGAAATGGATAGAAATGAGTGATTTTTCACTGCAACATGCCTGTTTCTTATTGGTTTTTGGTATAGTCAAATCTATATCTTGCAGCGCGCCCATCATTCCAGCCTGTAGGCTGGAAGTGATGACAAGGATGAGCAAGCGGCTGGGGCCGCATTATGTTTCAATTTCGACCTCAGGAGGTCAAGATGTGGTAGGGATGGTACGGTAGATGTCATGATGCCACGGCATAGTGCAATGTACATGTAATATATCTCATTAGTATTAAAATACATATATATATATATGCACATATATAGGTAGATCGACAGATACGTACGTATGTGCATTGATGCGCGCTGATTATATATATATATATATATATTTATTTGTTTATTTATTTATCAAACATTTGCAACTTCAAAACATGTTGAGGCATGTTGAGGCAGTGCTCCATGGCAGTTTCCCCAGGTCTCCCCATCCTCCCCATCCTCCACCTACTCCTGAAGTTGCGCGACGTGGAACCTTCAAGCCCGCCATTCCCCGGCTGGAAATCACATGTTAGATTTGGAGACCTGATTTCTTGGGTCAGTTTAGTTGAGCCACAACGATCCCCTATTGTTTGGGGCTGAAAATTATTGACCACCAGACTTGCAGCAGTTCATACGGGTGAAGAAATGATCAAATTTGCGGGCCCACGTGTGCCCCAAGGTCGAAAATGGTTGTTTGCAAACTCACCATTACCCCCAAGTTTTTACCTGACATGCATTTTTGTGGCCAAACTCCCCCAATGTTCGCTGGCCCATCCCCAGGTTTCATTCCTCAAAACCATCAGATAATTGACCGTCGAAGATCTGATTAAAACCATAGAAATCTACAGGAAATTCATGGAAATTTATGGAATTTCATAGAAATTACCATATATTTGCCTGTGAACTCCATGAAATCTCGACGTTTCGCCACCTCACCGAGGACACCGAAGCGGCCGAGGCGGCGCGCAGCGCGACGCAGCGCTCCGTGGCGCGGCGCTTGGAACGGCGGAAGTCGCGAGCGAAGCAGGTCGACTTCGGGGATTTCATGGTGATTTTTGTGGAATATCCCATATATATATATATATGTATATATATATATAGTTAGTATATCACATATCATTTCTATAGATAGTTATTTATATATATATATATATACATATATAGCCAACATAACTATAGATATATGACTATATCTGGTTGGTGGTTTGGAACATTTTGTATTTTTCCGAAAATGTTGGGAATAATAATCCCAACCGACTAATATTTTTCAGAGGGGTTGAAACCACCAACCAGATAGTATATTTACCTACATTTGGTTCATGTATGTGGTAAATGTTGGTAAATATTCCATACATGGAGCATATGGGGATATAAAGTGACATGAGATTTGCCATATGTTATACAGATAGATGGATGGATAGATAACATAGATGTTTACTTCTGCGCATGGAATGTGGGTAAAACAATGCCATAAACCAACCCATTTGGGAATGGTTTATACCACCAATTTATGATGATTTTCGGGATTGTGTATTATTGTTTTCACCACATTAGATTATATTAGATGGATTTAGTGAAATATAATGGGGCTAATAATGAGGGAACCATATATGCGGTACCAATTATGTTGGTATACTTTGTGTGTGTGCGCGCAATTCCCCTTCAGGTCAACCGGACCATCCGCTGAGGGCACTTCAATTTTTGTTTCTTGCGTAGGGAGCCATTCGCACAATGACATCCCAAGCAAAAACACCTATAGGATTAGAGGTATAGTGCAAAATGGGGGGCCTGTACCTGTCCCATATCGACAAACGCCAGCGCCAGGAAACTGATGGCTGGGACACATCAGATCACAGCGAAGAGGATGGCCCCTCGGCCAGGTGGGCTCGCTAAGTCTGTCCACAACCTGATAGGCAGCTTAGGGGCTGTCCTATGCTGCCAGGACTAATTTTTGGGCTAGGGCAGGCTGTAGATTACGGACATACAAGGCTAAAACTGGCCAATGGTAGGTATCATTGATTACCACGCTGTAGGGAAGGAGCACTTGGCCAAATATAAGATACAATGATGAAAGTGACCGTGACAGTGACAGTGAGAGGAAGGAGAGACAATCAATGAAAATCAAAAAGTGTTGCCTACAGGGCTCAGACGGGCAGCTGATAGGCATTGTAGGGCTTCCCAAGCTGTAGGTTGCCAACCTACAGGGCAAAGACGGCAAAATGATAGGTTTTCTAGAGGCTTCCCTCGCTGTAGGTTGCAAACCTACAGGTCTAAGACAAGCAGATGAAAAGCATCTTAGGGGCTTCCCGCTTTCCAGGCTGTAGGTTGCCAACCTACAGGGCTAAGACAAGCAGATGAAAAGCATCTTAGGGGCTTCCCGCTTCCCAGGCTGTAAGTTGCCAACCTACAGGGCTAAGACTGGCATGATAGGGGCAAATGATAGGCATTTTAGGGGCTTCCCAGGTTGTAGGTTGCCAACCTAAAACGGCAAATGATAGGCATTGTAGGGGCTTCCCAGGCTTTAGGTTGCCAACCTACATGTCAAAGACGGCCAATGATATGCTTTTTAGAGGCTTCCCATGCTGTAGGTTGCCAACCTACAGGTCTAAGACAAGCAGATCTCACGCTGTAGGTTGCCAACCTACAGGGCTAAGACAAGCAGATGAAAAGCATCTTAGGGGCTTCACGCTTCCCAGGCCGTAGGTTGCCAACCTACATGTCTAAGACGGGCAAATGCTAGGCATTTTAGAGACGTCCTAGGCTGTAGGTTGCCAACCTACAGGGCAAAGACGGGAAAATGATAGGCAGTTTAGCTGCAAATTTCTGACCTACAGGGCTCCAGACGGCCAGAAGATATGCATTTTAGGGCTTCCTACAGGGCTAAGCAGGGAGATGAAAGGCATTTTAGGGGCCTGGGAAGCCTTAAAATGTCTATCACCTGCCCCTGTTAGCCCTGTAGGTTGCCAACCTTTGCAGCTTGGGATGTGTATCACCTGCCCGTCCTAGCCCTGTAGGTTGGCAACCTACAGCCAAGACAAGCAAATGAAAGGCATCTCAGGGGCTGCCGGCTGTAGGTTGCCAACCTACAGGCACGAGACGGGCAGATGATAGGCATTTCATGGGCTTCCCATGCTTTAGGTTGCCAACCTACAGGGCTAATACCGCCAATACTGGCAAATGATAGGCATTTTAACCTACAGGACTAAGATGGCGAATGATAGGCGTTGTAGGGGCTGCCCAGGCTGTAGATTGCCAACCTACAAGGCAAAGATGGCCAACGATACGCTTTTTGGCGGCTTCCACGCTTTACTGGTAGGTTGCCTACCTACAGGTCTAAGACAAGCAGATGAAAGGCATTTTAGGGGCTGCCTGGGCTGTAGGTTGCCAACCTACAGGGCCGAGACGGGCAATTGATACGTGTTCATTGACTCTTATTCAGCCAAGGCTTGGAACAAACGGCCAAAGACCGACGCAACTTGGCGGTGAAGACATGGTGGCACATAATCTAAAAAATATTAAAAATTGCCAGTCCTGGATCCATGAACCCCTTGACGTGTTGACTGATTATTTTAGTTTTACAAAATGCTATTTGGAAGGAGCCCCCTCATTAACCAACAAAGGTGCGTTCATCCCGGGTTTTAATTACCCAAAGAAATAGATTTGAACGGTCTCCTGCACCAATGTTTCATCCAATGTCTGTCGGTTTGTATCGTGGCTGGTGTTTTCTTCCCACCAGGTGACAAGGATTCCTTGAGATGTTGCACCTGGCCTGTTGTTTCTGGCTAGAAATCCACTTGCATGGTGAATTTGTTTCGGGTTTAGGGTGAAGACCACCAACAAGTTGACTTGTATGGCTTAAGTTTGGGATGTACCGCAAGGCAGCTTTTGCGCAGCGGTGCATCGACAGTTGCTGGAGGATTGGGAAGTGCCAGCTGAGGCATATGGATTTTTATGCGTTATATATCGTTTTAAACATATATAATTTGCACGCCCTTGAAAACCAGCAAAACAAAACAAAGGAATACACCTTGTGCGCGAATATCTTAAAGAGATCAACCCCGATGGTTGGGACACGTTTCGGCATCTTTGGGGGGTTGCATTATCCATAGTTATAGATTATATTACCCTCTGGTAAACAAACAGTTTGCTATTGAAAATGACCATTTATAGTTGATTTACGAATTAAAAATGGTGATTTTCCATGGCTATGTTAGTTTGCCAGAGGGTATTATCCCTTTATATATGCATAGAATACCATATACCCATAGTATATCCGATTATAAATCTATAATGTTTGTACTTGGGTATGAAAACTTGGGTATAGAAAAGTTGGTTAACCTATAGCTTGTTGACAAGTATGTAGTATATACCGTATACCGGTAACACTACACATTTAGCCATTGTATACCCAATCACATATAGTCACAAAAGTATTGATAGCCAAGATGTATTGATGTATTTAGTATGTCTTTGTTTTCTTTGTAGGTGGATATAAAGTTAACCCAACTATCTACATATATTATATTACATATGTGCATGTCACATTAATCTATAGTTGGTTCACACCCCTATAGTAATATAACAACTAGAGTTACATTTCAATATGATTGATAGTGGTACACTAGTGGCTAAATTAGTCATCCCGTGTTTTTTTTTGGAATAACTAATATATAACATTACATGTTAATTACAATGATTTACCCATTCATGTTAACATGTATATGTATGTATATATGTACAGTATTACAAGCTATGTATTAAGCTGGTTATGGGATATAAACAGCTATATATATATATACACATCCACTACACCAGCTATGTTTCACCCAAAAGAATACACCACTACAATAATTACTGGTGATATCCCATGATATCCCATGATATCCCATGATAAATCTATACAATTACTTACAGTTACTTTGGTTGCCGTGCGACGTAAAGTTACTTTGGTTGCCGGAACCACCTGCAAGTTCCAAGCACTTAGTGCAGTAACAGGAAAGGGAAAAAGGGATATCCCATGGTTTTTCTATAAGCTGCTCAACAATAATATCCCATGGTTTTTCTCCACGTATCGCTGGAAACTCTTGGAGGACGTCTCCGAGGAGTTTGCCAGTGCAAGCGCGGTGCTGAAGGCAGGGAAACGTTGGACGTTGGGGCAGGGTGGAGCTTTGGAAGTGGTGAAAACTATGGGAAAACTATGGGAAAAATAGAGCAAACTCTAGAAACATGGTGATTTATGAGGCTTTTAAAAGTCACAAATCAATGGTCTTAAGTGATGCATCCGGAAAGATCGGATCAGCGATTTATGCGGAATGTGTAGGCTCTGAAGTCTGCGAAGCAGAAGCTGCAGGATGAGTACCGGCAGGACAGGTTGCTGGCAGCGGACCATGGAGCCTCCCAAAGTTTGAAGCTTCAAAGATCATTCTGGATATTACTGGGTTCATGTTGTGTGCCTGGGGCAACCCTGTGTGCCATTGGGATGGGGTAACTTCTGGGTGCCTGGGGTAAGAAACAACGTCCGCCCAGTAATTGACATTACTGAATGGATAATGTGTTAAAGCCAAGAAAAGCTATCACAGAAATCATCGCTTTCATGGTATAAAACATCCCCAAGTGGTAGGTTTATGCTTGGGTTTACCGCAGTGTGGATTGGACATGAGCAGACTGTTGGGTTCAAATCTCTGGCTCTCTGCTTTTCAAATCAAATTTGCAAATGATGTTCATTCATTTCATCCGCGCAAATATATTCAAATATTATATCATAGATGGCCCATCCCCACTTGAGACCTGGACCTCCCTCCTGCGTAGTTTCTTTTGCGAGGCCTTTGTGCATCTCTCCCTACCGGAGGTCTTTAGTTTTTTCGTGGAGCATTCCACCTTCTGGTGCCGAGGGTTGGAGGAGGGCCATGACAGACCCTCCAACGACGAAAGAAGATGATGCAACAGATCTTGGATTTGGGGTTGGCCCTTTTATGGATGGCCAATCGGTCATATCATTTGGGTTTCATTGAAAATATCTAGGACACCCCAAAATCTTAAGGATTCTCATCATGTTCCCCTCAACATTGCCATTGTTGAGGCACATTCCATTTTCCACTCCACGACTTCACGTGTTACATTGTTGGATTTTCCAGCCATAGCCTCAAGTCTTCATGAATCAATTTTCCCTTACCCAAGAACTTCCTCACGAGTGATATACTGATTGGTTAGATTCTCCAAGTGCTCCATGTTTCACAAATGACCAGCCTCAATGCAACATCATCGAACCCCCTAGCCTTAGCTGGGTTGGATTGAACATGAAAAAGGTACCCAATGTCACTCATGGTTGAGAAAGTCATATGGTCCCCAGTACTTGATGGGATATTGCGGGTAAACCCCATCCTTTTTTGGATAGACACAAGGATTTTAATAATGAGGGTTCAGTCGTTGACAGTTGAGATTTCCCATTGCCATTTTCATTCATTGCCATTGCAACTATTTTAAATGTGGAAAAGACGCTTAATCTCCTCAGCATCAGTGCAGTGATTGGGACGGGGAGGGTCATCTAAAGCAACCCATGAAAAAGATGCCGACACGTATCAAAATCATTCAAAAACTAGAATCACAGGATGGATTGCAAATCAAAAAGCTATGTAAGTTGCCCTGTAGATGGCCTAGTTCCATCTAGTTCTCTACTTTTCGCAGCTTACTAAAACTACCCTCTGGTAATTTCACATAGCTATAGAAAATCACCATTTTTAATAGATAAACCATCTATTTCCATGGGCCATCTATAGCTTTTTGTATGTTTACCAGAGGGTTTCTACTGGCCCAGCACCCTCCAGGTGGGACCCCTTGAGCCTTGTGACCGACGCTGGCGGCGCCTCGGCCGCCTTGTGGGGCCCCAGGAAGGCCATGACTTCCACGCAGCTCGAGGCCTTCGACTGGTTCGAGGACTTGGGGCCTTTGGGACCTTGGGAGATCTGGATCTGTCTGGTTTTGCGATGTTTTTCGGCACCGAAATAAGCAGTTTAATGATGTTTAATGGGGACACTCTATGAAAATATATGAAAATCCATCTAAAGTGGATCCGAAAGTGCCATCTAAAAGGGAAGAGAGAGAGAGAGAGAAAGAGAGAGAGAGAGAGAGACGTGATGGATTGAGGCTTAGCCTATTTGCAGACGCACCTATTTGATCCCATTTTAGAAAATTTAAGAAGCAAAACACATAAGATCAGCGAAGCCATGAGATTTCAGCGGAGGAAACATTCATCATTTGGATCCAGATCCCTTTGTTGGCAACCCATACGCTATGACAAACTGACCTGGCCATGGGGAAGCTCATTGACAGACCATTGATAGAGGAGGGTGACACATTGTCGTGGCCCACATTTCACTGGAATGACGGTTAGGACTGGGGTAACTATCCCAAAATAGCCTTTTATTAGATCAGTGAATTATCATAATGTACCCCACCCCAAATGTATATATATATATATACATTGTTCATTATCAATAATGTATATATACATGTATATGTTAAGGTATCATATTTGTATATGTATGATAAAAGATTCGATGTTACCTATCTATCTATCTATCTATCTATCCATCCATCCATCTATCTGTCTATCTATCTATCTATCTATCTATCTAAACAGAGATGTACAAGCAAACTGGCGCTAGGAAATGGCCTCCTTCACCGAGCTCATGGGGGATGATGATCCCGACACCGAGCGCCTTGGGCCTGACGAACGTTTTTTTCCCCAAAACGGTCAACCTTTGAGGATTGTCTTAGATGATATTAGATGATTTCAGATTGTTTCATGTTTTTTTGTTTGAGATTGTTTTAAATAATCTTCAAGTATTTAAGATTATTTTAATGAACATATTGACTTGTTTTGGAAGATTGTTCAGAAAACTAACCTTGGATGGCCTAGAAGAAACATGGATGATGTCGGATGATTTAAAGCTATGTTGAGCTGGTATGATGGATTTGGATGGGGGCACAAACTCACAATTCGTGATGAAGATCCTGATCTTGTTTTAGATGGCGTTGTTTGTTTTAGCACTTATTGGGCGCTCCCATTTTGTGTTAAACAACCAGCTACAGGCTTTACTACAATCTTTACAGGCGGCAGCCTGCGTGATTATTTTTTGTTTATGAGTGACCAGAGCGATTTCTCTTTCAGAAACCCCAGCGGCCTTCAGAACCAGTAAGCAGCCTTCTTGAACCTGTTGATGGCTTGATTATCACCAGTCAGGGTAGGTGACAAGAAAAGCTGTCTAGTGATGATGCCAAGTATCGGAATGGGGTGGTTTACCACCAACCAAACTACTATAGTCAACCAATCACTTGCTATCTATCTATCGATCTATCTATGTATCTTTGTTTCTTTCTATCTATGTGCTCATCTATCAACCAAGAAATCGGAAACCACTTACTATACATAATGTTTTTCTTCCACTGCATGCTCCTTGGCCATGAAAACAAAAAACAATTAGTGCAGGTTGGTGCCCAAAATGTCCAGAAGTGCATCTTCCCGGAAGTGGCACGAAGACTGTCTCCCGGTGATGGAGTGGTTGGAAAGCACATGGGGATCAAACCCTGGTACCCCTGCCGTTCACCCAAACAAAATGACGGCAAATGGATGTGCATGCCCCTCCAAATATGGTATTTATAGGTGCTGATCCCTAGCATTCCATGGCCCTCTAGGAGTTGAGAAGCTGTAACACTGCAGGGTGTCACAGATTTAAACAACTATTTCTATCCAATGTTACTCGATATACAGAATTCATGATGTCCAAGTGTGAAACGAGAAACTGCTAAATTTCATGGGATTGGCTTAGGCATCTACGAATCTACTACTACTGGTTGGTGGTTTGGAACATGAATTTTATTTTTCCATATATTGGGAATGTCATCATCCCAACTGACGAAGTCCATCATTTTTCAGAGGGGGTGATCTACCACCAACCAGTACTACATGAGTCAACTACAGAGTCCCCAACTCTTACAATCCAGGCGCAATCCCCGTAATTGATCAGATTAACCCTGGTTAACAAGTCACTTAAGTTGCTTATCCCGTGACTGGGGTGGGGTTATAGCTGGTTATAGCTGCTTAATTACTCTCTATCTATTGATGTACTTAATTTGAATTGTTGAATTTTGGTTATCCCAGTTACAGGATTATACTCTACTTAATTCTCTACTTATTATCTTCTTACTTCTTGGGCTATGAAAATATCTCATTGCTGGTTAGCCATTTACTGGGAAGATTTACCTTGTTCAAACGGGATAAATGGCTAACCAGCAATCAATGGCTAACCAGCAATGGCAATGATAACCTTTGGTAAATCCAATTGCTGGTTAGCCACAGGTTAGCCATTTACTTAGTTGATTCGAGTCCCTGTGGCATTTTTCAAGGCGAAGCTGCTGGGATCCCACCAGCCTAACGCAGACCACACGCGCGGCGGCCTTGCTGGATGAATGTTTGCTGTTCGAGGTGCGGACGTCATGACGTCAACGTTTTGAAACGAGGAGACAACCAAGGATAAAATCTCTATACATCTAGGAGTTTTTCGCATCTAAAACTGACATGAGTTTGGCTTTTAACGTGATTTATCATTTATGCAATAAATTTCTGGATTTCAGATGTTTCAACCATATCAAATATCTGATTTACACGTTAAATTACGGATTTCATGTGATTTAGTGGTCTAAACCGGGGACCTTGCCAGCAAACACGAAGATCAGGATGAAAACAATAAGAAACGAACATTTGACAAAACCTGTGATTTCACCAAAACGCTGTTGCAATATAACAACATATAACAACTCCAAAAGTTGTGATTTCATCCACAAATTGGGAAGAGCTTACGGGATAGAACTTACGGGATAAAACTGCGGATCCTTCGGATTTCGGCTGGGATTTTTCGAGTTGTGATCTCTGGATGGCGATGAATTGCAGATATTGATCCCGGCGAAAAAAACCGGACTAAGTGGACTCAGTGGACTAAGCGCACAGAGCTGGGTGATATAGTAGGACTATGTAGGACTGTGACAAGGTGCGCCTCTGTGAGGACATGAAAAGCTAAAAAGGTGAGCTCATGACCTCATGTGATTTTAATATATTTTAATACATGACATACCTTTTTCGCTCCTGCGACTGGAACCTGGCCCACATGTTACTTTCAGATTGTTTGTTTCCGTGAGCTCTTAGCATGCTTATCCACATGGGAGTTACCAATGTATAGCTATGCTGCGTACGTAATGTACACAACATCCTGTGGATTTTTTCTTAGTCCTGGGAGTCCTGGGTCCTGAGTATTCTCGATGCATGTCCATTCTCTATGTTTGACATCACATTACGAAGCACCATTATTCAATAAAACAGATGGAGCCACAATGTCAAATCGTCACATTCAACCGCCATCAGACCACAAATCACACATCAGAAATCATCATGAACCACCATCAGACATCATTAACCTCCACACATATATAGTGACGGACTGAAACTTAGAATGCCGCACCCCTTCAGGTCGCGCTGTCCTAAAGAATGCCGCCGCGGGGGCAAAATCTTAAAAAACCCTGGTAAAATGCAATTTTCGGGTACCTGTAATTTGACCTGGTCTTTTTGTAATGAGTCGTTCGTAGGTAAATTTTGTGAGAATTTACAGCGTAATATGAGATTGAGTGCCACACATAGAATGCCTCCGGCCAAAAAGTCCAGGTCACAGCATGTCAAACGTTTGAAGCCCATATTTTCAAAATACTCGGTATACGTGGGGTTTTATGTACTTTGTGCAGCCCACATAGAATGCCGCCAAAAACATATACAAATGTCATCATTCTGTTGCAAAATCTCTGTTTTTTTGTGAAACACATGGTTTGAAGGATTGTATAAATTTACTATTTCATATGAATAATTGTATATAAATCCAATCTCATGGGAGGTTTCCTTTCACTCGCTGCCCGCTATGCCGCCATCCCAGCGACTGACGCCACACCACTTATATGCAAAGAATTCAACTTGTTGCACACACTCACACACGCATACAATCACACGCACGTTGTTTTTATGAAACGACAGTTCACTACAAGGAAGGGGAGCTTGCTCATTGTTCTCTCGATTTTTCATTTGTATATTACAAAAGCATAAAAATAAATATATATAGTCGAGAACTGAAACTTAGAATGACGTTTTGGAAAGTTAACCAGACGGTTTTACACTTAGAATGCTGCCAAAAATGTTACACATAGAATGCGTCCAAGGGTTTTGGGGGCACGCGTTTTATGTTTTTTTGCTGATTTCCACATGAATTATGGTTTCCTTGACGATTTTTGCACCTCCCGGCTGCATTTGTAACACTTAGAATGCCACACCAATCCTTTCCTCTTTCCTTTCCTTTTTCCTTTCCTTTTTCCTTTCCTTTTTCCTTTCCTTTTTCCTTTCCTTTTTCCTTTCCTTTTCCTTTCCTTTTTCCTTTCCTTTTTCCTTTCCTTTTTCCTTTCCTTTCCTTTTTGCTTTCCTTTTTCCTTTCCTTTTTGCTTTCCTTTTTCCTTTCCTTTTTCCTTTCCTTTTTCCTTTCCTTTTTCCTTTCCTTTTTCCTTCCCTTTTCCTTTCCTTTTTCCTTTCCTTTTTCCTTTCCTTTTTCCTTTCCTTTTTCCTTTCCTTTTTCCTTTCCTTTTTCCTTTCCTTTTTCCTTTCCTTTCTCCTTTCCTTTCTCCTTTCCTTTCTCCTTTCCCTTCCCCTTTCCTTTTTCCTTTCCTTTTTCCTTTCCTTTTTCCTTTCCTTTTTCCTTTCCTTTTTCCTTTCCTTCCTTTTTCCTTTCCTTTTTCCTTTCCTTTTTCCTTTCCTTTTTGCTTTCCTTTTTCCTTTCCTTTTTCCTTTCCTTTTCCCTTTCCTTTTTCCTTTCCTTGTTCCTTTCCTTTCTCCTTTCCAATTATCCTTTTCTTTTTCCTTTCCTTTCTCCTTTCCTTTCTCCTTTCCTTTCTCCTTTCCTTTCTCCTTTCCTTTCTCCTGTCCTTTCTCCTGTCCTTTCTCCTGTCCTTTCTCCCCTTTCTTCTTTCCTTTCTCCTTTCCTTTCTCCTTTCCTTTCTCCTTTCCTTTCTCCTTTCCTTTCTGCTTTCCTTTCTCCTTTCCTTTCTCCTTTCCTTACTCACAAATGCGATTTAGGGGACAACAACTAGCATATTCACACCAGAACAGGGGATTATATCATAAATTTTTATATACCATCAAGAGTTTAAGTCTACATCTCTAATAGCAACGGACTGAAACTTAGAATGCCTTGGGCCAAAAAAATATTGAAAGGGTCTCCAAATATGGCGATAATCATGCGCACTTAGAATGCCTCATAAAAGTCCAGCTCGCAGGTTTGAATGTTTTAGCGATGGAGGCATTCTAAGTGAGGCCAAAAAAAAGGCATTCTAAGTGGCACCGTTAAAAATCTTAACAAACATGGCGGCATTCTAAGTTTCAGTCCGTCGATATATATATATATATATATATATTTATGTACCTGGACATCCAAAAGCTGCATTTTTTTGGGTCTGGACTGAAAAGTAGTGAGCGACCAAAAATCGAACAATTGCTGATTTTGCCCTCTGTCAGTCACATTTGGAAGGACCAAAAATATGACGCAAAATGACGCAGAAAAGACGCGAAAGACCAACTTTTTGACACCAAAATTGTGTCATTGAATCCATCACTCTTAGCCCAAAAGTGATTTTTAGGCCCGCACCCGAAAATCCACAAAGATCAAAAATTATGCGGCTCAAGGACTGTCCAGGTATATATGTATATGGTAACCCTCTAAAAGGTAGAAACAAATCTACCAGTTATTTGAGCATAGGATTTTACTAAATGCTATCGTTGTGGTGGTTGCTACGCAGTGGACGACAGGAGGTCTTATTTCAGGTTAGCAAATTGTTATAATGACTGTATCCATATTATGAATATAGGTCAGATAATTGGCATAACTTTAAGCAACTATCATAATTACGTAACACAAAAAAAAGGTCCCTCAAGTAAATCAGACAAATTGTTTCCTGTTCTATCCAACTAACTAACAACTTAACACATGCATTAATTACTATTGATATCCAACTTTAACCATCATGGACGATGATCAACCAGGGTCTAATTAGCATTCACCACTATGAAAATCACTATTACCATTCATTCTTAACCACTATGAATCATGATCAACTATTCTTAATCACTATTGATCACTATTAACCACTATTAATCACTATCAATCACTATTAATCACTATTAATCACTATTAATCACTATATTAATTAATCAATATTCACCAGTCAAAAAGCTCGAACCCATTGTTCACCGTTATTCACCATACTTAAAACTAGTCACCACTAGTATTAAACACCCCCGAAACGAAACCATGGTAAATCGCAGGGAAAGTCCACATTCCGTGATGGGATTAACCGTGGTGAAGGCATCCGAATGCCGCATTCACGGTGCGGACAGGTGGGCGAAGACGGCGCCTTCAACGAGCTGCTGCTGGCGGCGCTGGAGCGGCTGCGTCACGCGCTGCAGCACTTTGCGCCGGAGCGACGTCAAAAACTCCATAGGGAAATCGATGGAAATCGTGGCTCAAAATGGGATGACTGGTAGACAAAAAATGGTAGACAAATAAAGTGACATATACATCATCTATCTATGTAATCTATCTATTCGAATCGAATCAAATCAAATCTATCTACATATCTATAAAAGATATAAAAGGGGTAATGCTAGGGCTGTTCACCAAGTACTACCTTGGATGCACACAAGTATGATCAGTTGAGGGACATGCCATGAAATACCCCTTTTAAAGACATGTTAAGGGTGAACATGTGATGGTGATGGTGATGATGATGAAGAAGAACCATGCGCAATGGGGGTTAAGTGAGCTGAGTTCGTTGATAAATGGGTGAACCGGTTCTTTTTTATTTGGTGGATATACTTATATCTTATAGTCGAGTTGGTTTGTAAAGCAACTTATTAAGGGGGGGCCATCACTTGGTAAAAATAAGGAACATTTTTTGTGGGCAGCTCTCGTTTTGAAGACTTGCAACATGTGCCCTCCACTAAACTCACAAACTTCGGAATGGCGACCAGCTTGTGGGGAGATTAATTTGTAGGGAGTTTTGGGCATCTCAAAAAGTACTTTTTGAGCAAAAAGTGTCACGTGCTAACATGTCATAACACCTCCGTGTCTTACAACGATTTATAACGTGAAAAAGTGAAAAAATGAAAAGTAAAAAAAATGATTTATATTAGATTGAAAAGTTTTAAAAGTTATGCACCAACAAACATTGAACTGACATGAATTAGTATCCTTGATGGATGTGGCATGGTTGTCTTATTGGCAATGAGAGCAGAGCTTGGTGATGGAACTTCAATCATCAAGTTTACTACATTGCCAACATTACTATTTATTTGGCATGTCTAGTACCTGTGTTTGCATATGCCCAGGATGTATGAACATATATCCACGTCAGGATGCATCCCCAGGTCACATGGCAATGCATATTTCCTGTTGCTGATGTGATATCTCACAAAAACATGCCAACATCTTCCCCTCAATTAGTCAGTCAGTCAATTGTGTCAATTGCATCTGTTGTGTTTCTTCAATTTCTGATGTTGAATGCTTGTGGTGTGAAGTGGTTTCAGATTGAGATTCTCTGAATTGAGTCATTGCTTGAGATGTTACTACATTGTCATTCACCTGCTCGGGCCTTAGTTTGCAAACATGTCTCGTTGACAAATGATTTGCGTCAATTGTGTCATTTGCGTCATTTGGATGTTTGCAGGTCAATGTTTTGTTTGGATGCTTCAAGGAGGGGCTGCAGCGCGTCAACTTCATTCAGGGTGGGGGCCCCAGGATTTCTTTGACAAGCACTTTTGGCAAAGTCATTTTCATCTTGAAAAGTGATTTGGTCAATTGAGTCAATTGTTCATTTTGTTCTACTCATCCAGGGCTTTATTTATTATTCAGCAGCTGTGCCAATGCATCAATCAAATTATGTGAAAGAACGGATGAATGAAAAGAATGTCAGAGGCAATAGGGCTCAAGTTGCGTGATTTGTGTTGATTGATTTGCTGTTTGTCTTAATTGCGTGATTTGTATCAATTGTGGTCGCCAATTGCAGATGGTGAATAGATGGTCAAGAAGAGCGTCTGCTGCAGCAAGTCGAGACCACGACTCCACCAGCTCTCAATCAATCAATCAATCCATCCATCCCATCCATCCATCCAATCAATCAAATCAATCAACCAACCCACCAATTCAATTAACCACTAAATCTATCCTATCTATCCTATCCTATCCTATCCTATCCTATCCTATCCTATCTATCTATCTATCTATCTTTTTATCTATATATCTATCTGTCTGTCTGTCTGTCTATCCCATCCCCATCCCATCCATCTAATAATAAATTTACCTATCTCATCTAGAATCTAATTATTTATTGCAAGACTAATCAATCATAAACTTGAAAAGTAAATGAATTAGTCAGTAAGAAAATAGAATTATTAAAATAATTATTATGAAATAAAATATTAATTTACTTGTTTCATAAAATTATACACTTTTATATTAAAATAAAATACTTCGAAAACACTGATTTCCCAGACTTCCAAACCACCAACCCAAACCACCACGTAAGCGTAACCTGATTGCATGTTGGAAAAAAAGAAAATCATATTCAGCCTGTCAGTGCACATTGATTGAATGGGACATGGTTCCTTTACAGTACAAGCTTTGTTCATGGCAGCAAATGAGATGTGATTGCATCTTAGTTTCTTGTGTCTTAAGGTGGCTGGTGGTAACTTGCAGGCTCAGCTTTGTTTCCTTTGAAATGTCAATTGTGTCATTTGCAGTCAATTGACTCCCGGTAAGTCAGTTCAGTGAACCAGGGGAAGTGAGTGTCATTTTAGCCATGCGTCGGTTACAAGATTTCGGCAGGCCTTTGTGACATTGGTGGCAGGCTCATGGATACACCCAGGCGAGGCCTGTGTTGTTCAAGTGCCAGTCATTCAATTTGATTCATTGAATTGCATTGTACTTGAATTACTTGTGGTTGCAAATCATGACAATATGGCAGTTGTCCTGAAGCAACTAGTGCTCGAAGCATTAAATGGATTCAATTGCATCAATGGTGTCATTTGCGTCATTTGCGTCATTTGTATCAAAACAGATTTGAAAACAAGTCATGCATCATGCAGAAAAACATCCTTAAAGGGCAACCCAATGAACAACAACAAACGCAAAACAATTTGATTTCAAATGTATTAAATGTCTTCGGCCTCGATTGCTGTGCAATACCTGCCGTCTGAGTGGCGCTCAACGGTGAGCAAGTGGCCAAGGAAAGCGCAACAGGTCGCTTGATCGCACATGAAACAAACAGGTCGCTTAATTTCAAGAGTGTCACAAGATAAATTTCAACGTTGTTACTAGAATCTGGGAATAGTGCATTAGCAAACTGCTTGCTTGAGGCAATCTACTTGGTCCACCTTGAGTGCCCAAGCAACGCCCAGGACTTGGTGCCCCTTGGATCAAAGAAGTGGGATTAAGTTTGCTGATTTGGGCTTCTATGTTTCATTTGATGATGTTTAACGTTTGTTGTGGTGAGTTCTCTTCAATTGGGTCAATTGTCAGAGAAAGTGTGGGTCAATTCACTTGTTTGTTACTCAGGGATTTGGTGGAGAAAAAGAAGCCTGTTGACATCCTCAAGTACGTTCTGTCGATTTCGAGGACAAAGTTGAAGGAGTAACTTACCTGCATTGCAGGATGTTCTGCTTTGATTGTTGCCAATGATGGCTTTCAGCTGGTTCATTACCAAGGTACCACCAGAACAAGGGCATCAAGTATGACAACGTCAGTTGGGTCGCCAAAAAAAAGTGACCAAACCACAGTTTCTTGGCTTATCAAAGAAGTTTGCTGAATTACATTGGCTGGTTTGGATCAAGTGTGTCAATTGTGTCAATTGTGTCAGTCATGTGAAGTGTTGAAGTGCTGGCAATTGTCTGCTTTGGTAATGATGTCAGGTTCCCATCGTGCTTTGGAACTCACAACTGGTCCACTGGCCTCGACGAGTCGCGATCCTGGGGTATGGATCGGGCAATGCGAGGCGTGGGTGGAAGGACAGGGCCTTGTGGAGTCATGATCATGATGGAAATTGACAATTATTAATGTACTTTTGCATAGTTCTCTAGCGGCTGTGTTTGATCTGTGTTTGATTTGATCAAATTGCTTTGTGCATTTCATTGGTTGCAGGATCCACCACCTCAGGTGGTCAGGATCATCGAAAAGTTATGTGGTCACCTGCGTGACCCGATGAAGGAGGTGTGGGAGCACAGGCTTCCGTTGAAGCTGACACGCCAGTGCCTTTGATGCATTAATTAAGATCAAAATCAGAATGTTTGAATGCATTGATGATGATATCATCATTGTGGTTTGGGATTGGATGCTCAGGAGCTTCGAGGAGCACGACCAAACCAAGCAGAGGATGAGCGGCCTGCACGCGGAGGTGCAGGAGGAAGTGGCTTGGCATCAGAATGGCAAGCAGGTTGTCAATTGAGTCAATTGAGTCAAGCTGTCAAGTGGCAGTGGTGTTTGAATTAAATATTGTCAATTGAATCAATTGTTGTCAAATGGCATGCACTGTCAATTGAGCCAGTTGTTATGGATCATTTGCTTCATGGGTCTTTGATATTGCTTTATTTGAATGTAGTCCTTGTAGCGCTTCTCTCATTTAGGTCATCCGCCACAGCGGGTTCAAGTCGGTGGTCCTGGACATTTTGTCCCGGCCAGGGAACATCATCCGGTTTCCTGTCTGCATTTGGCTGGTCTTGACCTATTATTCTTCTTGTGATGCTTGCAATTGTGTCATTTGAATGTGTTGGAGCAATTCACAGTTTTGATGTGAATTTCAGAAGAGCAATTTCACTCAGTCAAAGCTTCAACTTTTGCACATTCAGACTTGTCTTGCTGAGGCTGACTTGCAGTTGGGGCTGGCACCGGACACTTGGGACGGCCAGTGTGATCATCCGGATCTTGCAGATTGCGGGGTGCGAAGTGGTGCTCTTTAGCGCGAAGCTGGGCATGAATCCGCAACTGGATTGCACAAACACCATCGCGTTTCTTCAGGGTTCGCCCAATGTGTGGCTTGCCTCAAATTGAGCTGAGCTGTTTGGATGCTTCACTTGGGGGGTTGTAGTGATAAACTTGTGGGATCGAAATGCGAAGCAATTCAGTTCTCTTACCTTCACAATAAGTTCTGTCTTCAAACATAATGGTTTTTTAACCATCAACATTTGTCCCAATTGAATTGCCTCAATTGATTCAATGGCAGTAATCTTGTAATGTTTTTAATTGATTCAATTGCCTCAATTGACTCATTCAACGACTTGTTGGTCCTTGCCATGGCTCAGTGTTGCTAAGGAACATGCGAACCCTGACTCAGAACCTTCACGACGACTTGACAGGTGTGGCCTGGACCGAGGAGGACTTCGAGCAGAGCCTGGAGAGGGCCCGAAACCTGTGGAGGGAAGTGTGGCCAGAG